TGAGCGGGTTGCTTGGGCAGGGCACGCGGTCGCGGCCAGAAACCGGGACGATGATGTCCGACGGGCGAGACTAATACCGGAGCGACAGCCGACAGGCATGGAACGCGTCCCATGAGCAGGACGTGCACAGACGGGGGGGGGGGGGGAGATGGAGCAATGATGATATTTGCTCGTGGTGTGTAGAGCAGGTGCTGGGTGCGATTGTTACATCGCAGGGCCGCGGGAGTTGGTGGCGGCTTTGGGCAGGGAGGCCTCATCCAGCAGTGGATTGACCATGGCTGCTGCTGATGTTCTAATTATACCAATCTGTGCCGATGCATTCTGTGATTCGCTCGTACTGTAATTAGCAATCGAGGCGCAGACGAAATTGAAGGGAATCGGCCCTTGGTTGGAGTCGTGACTCAATAATTAATTATTGGTGCAGCAATCGGAGGGGGGATGCATCGTCTGGAATAGTGGGACGGAGGGAGGGGTGGGGCACTCAATCGGCTGTCATCATCAGCGATCAGAATATTCTTAGGTTTTTTTCGGTAAAGTCACGTAGGTAAAACATTTAAATTAATAAAAGTAAAATAAAATAAAAAACACGACGTTTCGGAGGCAACACAAGTCTCCGTCATCAGGTGGGACCGTCACAGCCAGATTTGCTGCATCAAGTGAGTAAGGGATTACATCTTGAATCCTTGCCTCACTTGATACAGCAAATCTGGCTGTGACGGTCCCACCTGATGACGGAGACTTGTGTTGCCTCCGAAACGTCGTGATTTTTATTTTATTTTATTAATTTAAATGTTTTACCTACGTGACTTTACCGAAAAAACCTAAGAATATGAATCCTTGCAGTCACGAAAGCTTCAAATCTAGAAGCGATCAGAATCTTTATTCATCCCTGGGCAGAAGGAATCCGATGAGCTACAAATCTCTTTTTCACAGATGTCCAGTAAAAAAGAAAGAGGGGGGGAGGGAGAGATTCAGAAAGTTACGACAAAACACCCATTACAGTGCAAAGTAGAGAAGAGGTAAGCAAGTCACGAAAAAAGTATTAACAAAAAAAATGAAGTGCAGGAGTCAACTTTGGATGAAGCGTCGCCCTTCTCCAAAGCCGTTATAGCGTCTCCCAATCATCCCGTCCACGCGGGTGACAGTCCACGCGGGTGACAACACACAAGCGACAGTCCACGTGAGCGACAGTCCACGTGAGCGACAGTCCACGTGTGCGACTGTACGCGAGCCCCGATGCCATCGCTCCATCTCCTCGGTGGAACTCCGTCCTCTCGGATGCGTCCCGTTGGCCTCCTTTGGCCGTTGTCACTCCGTCGCGATGTAATTTTAACTTGGAATAAACGTTGAGCTCTAAAGCTCTTTATTCACAGATGTCCAGTAGAGGCACGGGGTAAGAACGTGACAACAAACAGTACAACAACACGATAGTAGTGCAAAGTACAAGCAAGGTAAAAAAAATCACCCAACACACACAGACGCATCACTGAACCATCCAAATTCTACCAGGCAATGCCCCACTGAGGTGTTCACTTATTTATCAAAAAGCGACATGGCGACCACAAATGATGGCAAGCTCAACAAAGTGGCATGGACAGCACCACAACGTAATCCACGTCGTCTAAACGTGCGTATGTTTCCACATGCGGAGCGTTGTCTTGCTTGCTAACTCGGCAAATGTCACGAAACAAATTCCGCGTTGATTTCGTTTAAACGGCGGCGAAAATTCTAAAGAGAACACAGGATCATTCTCATTTTGCAAGAGTGACACGGGTCCACTCGTCTGCCAGTTAGGGGAGTGGGGTGGAAGTGATCACCGCTTGCTGGCTGTGCGTCTCATCCCATTGGAGCGAGTCATTTGCCCTGTAATATTCGATATTTGGCAGATTTGGGACTTTTTTTTGGAACGCCAGCAACACAAATTGCCGAACAGGAAAATCTTTAACCACTGTCAAGTGGACGGCGCGGAGCAGTGCCCATCACGGTCAGCATTACTCGCGGTATTAACCAGGGGCGGCCGCTGGATTCGAACCGAGAGCCGAACGCTTTACTCCACGTCAGCGCCTGATGTCTGTCGTACGAAAAAGTACGTCAGGCAAAGGCGCAGCCTCCGCAACGGCAAGATGACACCACCGCTGGCGGAAGGACCCTCCTCCAATAGAGCACCAGAGCTCTCACGAAGACGGTGGTTAACCTTTTGTAATAAACGACTTCCACGACGACTCTGGACTCGTGTCTTTTATTCAACAGAATGTCTGCACAGCTCCGCGCTCTCTCTGGGTAGTTCTCTCGCTCCCCCCCCCCCCCCGCTGCCTTGACGATCCGTCTCCGTCTGGAGGAGATGCTGCTTCGCCGGAGGTTCGCCACGTGGTCGTTGGCAAGGACAGGTAGAGCGGCGATGCCGTCCGGACCCGAGGCTTCCCACACCGACCCCAAGTCCTCTCCTGCCCACGCTTATATGCCTCCCGTCGGAGCTAAGCTCCGCCTACAGCCCCCTCGTGGAACCGTCTGGATGGTTCCTGTATATTCCACGTAGCTCCGCCCGCTACCTTTGGCCGAGTTCGAATCCCGACTCCAGATTGGATCGGATTACCACCGCGGTGGCCATGCAGATGTCCCCTCTCATTCCACTTTAACTGCAGCCTAGCACCCCTATGGTTCTCAATCGTAGACAAAATGTGCAATGTTAATGAATACATAGAGGGCTTGATGAAACAACGCAAGTTGTACTTACGTTGCCCGTGCTTAATTTGTTTGAGATTATTTACCTTCTAAAAATCTGGCCACGTCTCACCCAGAAAGGGCATCTCACACCCCAGGTTAAGAAAAATCACTGAACTCAAGAGGGCATTTTGGCCTACTCTTCCGCGCGTGCCATATACGCCTTGAAAACGGTGGCAGTACTCGCACTTTAAGCCACCGTACGCTACCGAAGGAGGGACTTTTATTTTTTACTGCTGGGTGGACAGAGGGGGTGGGTGGGGGAGGGATTTGTGAAACCTGCAGCAGGATTGTTCAACCTTTATAATACGAACATCGGTTAGTCCACTGGCTCATGGCCACGATTTCGCAAATGTGTTTCCCCAGAATATTTGCAGATACGGAACAATTGTGACGAGCAAATGCATCGGCTTCAGTCGCATTGGGAGTCACCATGAAGAAGGGTCTCGCCAGAATGGCTCAATGTCTATTGGGTGGCCCTGTCATCGTAAGACTACCGTGGATCAGTTTCAAGTTCACCGACTCATCAGCAATGCGTGTGACCTCATGCATCAGCTTAACGGCCACATACCCATCGTGGACAGTGCTGTACATGTAGAGCGCATTTGTAAATCCACTACTGGATGAGTGCCTCCCCATGCAGTGTGGGTCATGGTGACTATTGTACAATGTTTACTTCCTCGCCTGGTATGCAGGTCGTGGATTCGATCACAACCCTGACAATGCCTGTATATTTGAAATTTGTATGTCTCTCTCCCCGTGGTCGCATGGATTCTTCTCCGGATCCTCCGGTTTTCCCTTCCACATTAACAATCAACATGCGTTAGAGTATGTGACTGCTCTACATTTCCACACGATAAGCCACTCCGTAGAGATTTCATTTGTGATAGCCAGCTCAGTGGGCCTTACCTGGTAAAATAACAAATAGATTACACTTCCATCATGCTGGTCAGAGCAAGTTGAAGGTGGGCACACAGACGTGACTCAATTTTATAATCGACTGTGAAATGGAATCGGAATTATGGTGGAAATATATACAAAATTGTGACTCTCACCTGATTATTCATATATTTATTATTCAGTGTAAACTCTACAAAACCATTGTCACACACCAGACTCGTCATAAAACTTCACACAATTAATTAAGCTTATAAAACATGTAAAAAAAACCACACAGACCTGTTTTTTATTAGCCAAAACACAGTCAAATATTCATACGCGGACGAATCGTTAATAATTTGTACGAATACAAAAAACAAACAAGACAAAGATCCCCCATGTAGCCTTAACAGACTGCTGGGACAAGTGCTGTTAGCGAGTAGCACCTACGAAGGCCGGCACGGCACACGAGGGGGTGGGTGTCCAGCACCACGCCCGGCCACCTTTGTCTCCCTAGTGGTGATGTTCCCACATCGCACCAGATACTGATTTGAGGCTGAGTTGACCTAGAGGAGGCCTGGGACCAGTTCAGATTATCGTCATCGGTGTTGGTAGCCGTGAACTGGATTCGATCTTCGGCTTGTAGCCAGCTTCGTAGCGCAGTGCAAAGTAAATAAGCCGCCGCGTCACCGCTCCCCCCACACTCAACTCGGACTACGCAGGCACACACAGCTCAAACCAGTTTGGAATGCACCACTGCCACATGCAAACCCACTGGCACAGAACCACCGCCAATTCCCAATGGAAACACGACCACTCTCTGGGGGGCAGTGGTGGAGGGGGGGGGGAGCTGGCCCATTGGGGGCCCAAATGAGAAATTCTGTTTGAGCCCCCAACCTCACCCCCCAATTGTTCCTCGGGACACAACGGCAGGGAATAGGGAATTAAGATAAGAGTCGTCGACCCCGAGGCAATAATGGGACTTTGGTCTGAGAAGAACACGTGGAGTCTTCTGCGACGAGCGAGAAGCCCCGTGAGCGACAGACGAACGGGAACGGTGGCCCTGGAAACCGCCACCAGCTGCCACTCCTCTCACCCCCGCTCGGTGTGCAAACACGCGGAGCCGGCGACGCGCATCGCCGTTCCCACGCCACACTCTCCACGACCTCCACCTCCATCATCCCTCCTGCTCCTCCTCACCCCTCTCCTCATCCGTCTCTTCCACCTCTATCTCAAGCCTCTCCCGCCCCCCATTCCTCCCTCTTATCCTCACCCTCTCCCTCCACTTCATTGCTCTCCTCCCCTTCTTCATCCACCTGCTCCCCTTCCTCCGCCCCCTCCACCACCTCCTCTTCCTCCTCCACCCACTCCACGACCTCCTTATCAACCTCCTCCCCTCCCTCCCTCCCGCCTCATCCTCATGACAGACATGATGAAGTTTGGTCAAATGACCCCCGTAACTCTCACAGCATGGGGAAGCCTCATCCAGCAGTGGATTGACGTGCGTGGTTGCACTGTAACCAGTGATTGGCTTTGTTACGGTTGGGAGTGGTTGTGGTGTTGCTGGTACCTTTATATCATCGTTAAAACTCACAGTCAAAGGCTTAATCACACGCTTCCCCACAAAACACGCACACACACAATAGACACAGACGGTTAGTGGTGGCAAGTGCCGTTAGTGAGCACCTATTAAAGCCGGCGCGTTGCTCAAGAGAGTGGTATGTCCAGCACCACGCCCAGCCGCCTTTGTCTCCCCAGTGCTGAAGTTTACACACTGCACCGACTACTAATTTATTGAAGGCCGAGCCAACCTAGGGGAGGCCCAGCACCAGTTCCAATACCGCTCGCCGTTGACCTATACAAGTGGCGAGAAACAGGACTCGGGTCACCGGGGCTCGGCGCGCAGGGGTGCCGACCGCTGCGCCACCACTCCCGATATCGACACACGCAGCACACCGGCACACAAATCACAGTTCAAATGTCAGCTTCACCTGTGTTTCATAGCTCAAGTCACCGGATTAAAAAGAATACACAACCCGTGAAACGGCTCTCGTTAAAAAGTATGCCAAACGATACCGCAGATCCCCGGTGTTATGGTACCTCTCGGATTCCTACCGTTTCCCAAGGGTCATAGAGTCATATTAAGGCAACTTTAGCATTGTTTGGGTCAAGGTTCTTTCCAGAGGCTTGCCGAGCCAGACTAAGGCCCCTTTCGGATTCTCATGGGTATAAAGTTAACGCTCAGAATTCAGAAGGCCGCAATGCAGTGACACACGGCCACGGGAAGCCACTTCAACCGGCTCCAATATACGCAAACCATAAGCGGCCGATTGTCACACGCGCGATGCCACGTGGTTGCCAGGTTGCCGAACGCCTGCTTGACTCTGCGTCGCGCCTTGCATCGCTGCGGCCGTGGCAACTCCACCTCTGCAGCAGCGGCAGTGGTGGCGAGCGTGTCGTCGTATCGGCGACAGCGGCAGTGGTGGTGACCGCGTCACCTGGCGACGGGGGTGATGGTGACCACTTCTCCGTGGCGACGGTGGTGGTAACCGCGTCACCGTAGCGGTGGAAGTGTCTCCGTGGCGACGGTGACGACAGCTTCTCCGTGACGACGGTGGTGATGTTGACAGCGTCTCCGTGGCGACGATGATGGCGGCGATGGTGACCGCGCCGCCGTTGTCGAAGGCGCCCCGTCATGGCGGCGCGGCGTGCTGCTCGGACGTGGGGATGAGCCCGTCGAGTTGCTTCTGGTGGCCCGAGTCCTTCAGCCACTCACAGAACAGATCCTTCACCAGAATCCGGAACTGAGCCGTCTTCTCCCTGTGGAGCACGGAAAGCGTGAGGGGGCCACGTGCATCAGCGTGGCGTGACGCGTCGCGGCGTGAGGGTCGGCATGGTGCAGCATGCCAACCACTCTCCACAGATACGACAAAAGACAAAGATCCCCTGCATACCCTGAACAGACTTTCGGGGTAAGTGCTGTTAGCGAGCACCTACAAAGAAATAAAAGTACGCGAGGGGGTGGGTGGCCAGGCCCACAACAACTGCCATTCGCCAGTAAGTGGCAGTGACGTCACCACTGTGTTTGTGCCAGACTATGTGCACGTTAAGGCCACGGGAAGTGTCAAACGCCCGCTGGCAGGAGGTCACAAGACAGATCCAGGTGCCATAGTTTGACTGAGATGACTGGCCGATGCACCACCTGTGCCCCCTACAGTGCCAACTCGCTGTGTTTTAGACACCCACCGCTCCGCTCGTTGTTGTGAGCATCGCCCCTCTGCCCTCCGTTGTTGTTGGAGGGCGACTGCCTCAAACTGCCCAGTAGCGTCCTTCGCGAGCCTCCTCTACAGAGGCCGATCTTGACATCGCTGGTACCAGTCATCAGCAAGTCCACTCAGCTCCACATCCTCTTATACCACATCACTCCATCTCTTCTCTAGCCCGTGCCGCGCCCGTTTATCCCCCTCTATCTGGCCGAACAAAAGCTGTTTCAGCATGCAGTGACCAAGCCAACGCAGCCTTGCCTGCCGGAGGAGCTCACCGATGGGACTTGTCCAGATCTTTCAAGGATTTGTGAGCTCCTCATCTAATCCAGCCTGGTTAAACCCAGGATGGATCGCAGGTAGGCCAGCCTAAATATTTGTAACCGGCGAAAATGTTCCATTAGGGGAGGTCCATGTTTTGCAAGCATAGAGAAGGGAGGGCATGACCATGGCCGAGAAGACTTCACAGAAATGCTCAGAAATCTGCAAACCTTTCTTTCCCCTAATGATGGTGGTAGGTGTGGCACTATAAGTCACTTTTTTGATGGGATGACTTGTGATCGCGGGCTACTGAAGCAGACTCCATCTCCTCAGCAACCCGTGACCACCACCCATCCTTGCAGCACCGCACATCTCTCCAAACCTCTGAGCGAAGGCTGCGGTAAGCCTCCTCATTCTCTGACGTGGGATGCTGTAGATGATGGGAGTGGGCCTGTTGCTTTTTATCAGTCAGCCGGAACACCTCCTCTGTCAGCCAGGGTCTCTAAGGAGGTTTGGACCGTGAACCTAAAGCAGCCATTGCAGCTGCATGAGCCACAGTCCTAAACCTCGAACATTTCCCCATGGCATTAGGAGGGGGGGATGATGCCAACCTCAACTGCAAGCGATGATGAAATTTTCACTTGCAACTTTCAGCAGCTAGCTGATACTAGGCCACTGTGGGTTTTAATGGGGTCCTGGATGTACACCCACCACTGGAGTGGAAGAACGGCAGTCGCATCTTACAGATGACAAGCCGGTGGTCAATGGACTGAACAGCTCCACGGTAGGTCCTGGTGTCGAGGACATGGGCCCGCATCCGCTGGTCCATCACTATATAGTCCAGCAGATGTTCTTGATAGACCCGGCGTGTATCCACGATGTTGCGTGGATGCGCCGATGCCGGAACAGTGTGTTGATAATTACAAGCCCATGGGCTGCCCAAAACTCTAGCAGCCTCCTACCGTTGTTATTGAGCTAATATGGCCCATGCCTTTCAATCACTCTAGCCCAGGTGCCAATATCATGATCCACTCAGGCATTAAAGTCAGCCTGCATCCCTCCACTGATATTCATCTTCGTTGGGGGCATAAGTAACCACCACCACCTCTCCTCACCTCTAGTTGATGGGAAGGTGAGCCCACAGTAGCCTGGCTTACAGCTCTCCACACCTCACCGCCATGCGCCAACAACCCTTAAATATTCAAAAGAGCCACTCCCTGTTGTTTGGCAGTCTCCTGCCCCAAATAGAAGACTGTCCACTCCTCATGGTGGAAGGAGCCAGTCCACCGGACCTCCTAAATACCGCAGAGATCCAGGCGGGACCAGTCCAGCCTCTCCTCCGCAGTGAGCATTCAAACATTCCACGTGGCCACCCGCAGTGGCTTTTTGCCATTTCTGGAGGAACCCCGAGGGTAAGGAATCAGTCTCCTGGCTCCGCCAAATGGGGGTGGCTAGGAAACGTCAAAGACGCCTGTCTCCCAGGGGCCTTCCAGCAAAAGCTTCGTTCTATATATACATATTATGTGGTTTGGTGGTAGTTTATTTGAAGGTGGATGAGTTACCAGTCACATCGCGCCCCAGTTTGGCCGCTGTGGTGGCTACAAGCGTCATGAAGGGGTATAGCCGATTATGGAATTAATCTTCCCTCCATGGCATTCCTCAAATCCACCACAGCGTTACCATTCGGCACCACCGAGGAGGTAAGGGCTTGTTCTTTTTGGACAGGCGCACACACATACGTGTAGGAACACTTCGAACACACACACGCTGGGCTTGCCTGGTGAGGTTGGCGTATCGCATGGTCTGCTGCCACGCCTGCACGCTCTTTTCGCGCGCCTCCAGCGCCCGCTCGTACGCGACGGGAAGCCCGCCGGGCACCTCGCTCGTGGTGCCGCCCGCGATCGTGAACGGCACCGTCAGCAGGTGCAGCTCGCTCGGAGGCAGCAGACGGTAGCACTTCTCATTGGTGCCATCGGCCTCGGGCCCGCCCAGGCACAGCGGCTGGTCCCAGCGGTTGGGCACGGCGGCAAGGCCCGCCCGAGCCATGTGCTCCTCCAGCAGCGGGTAGTGCGTGTGGTACGGCGCCAGCGTGAGGCCGGCGTCGCCGCAGGGCGGCGACACCAGCAGCGGCCGGCACGGCGTGAGCAGGTGAAAGGTGCAGGCGGAGCAGGCGGAGGCGACGAGGCGACGACACGCCACCACCACCGTGACATCCTCGCAGCCGTGCACGGTCACGTGCGTCTCCACGGGGCCCAGCACCAGCATCGTCCGTCGGCATCGCTCGACGCTAACCGACCTGTCGACGCGGCGGCGGCAGCGGCAGCGGCGGCACGCGCGTCAGTTTGGTCGGAGGGGCGTCGTCGTGGCCGGAAAGCAAAGACAAAACATCTCAGCTCCGGCACATTCTCAGCGGCGCGCCGGCACCACCCGGCAGCCAGAGGACGTGACGTGGCACGCATGGCGTGTGTGACGCCACTACGGGTAACGATGTCAAGAATCCGACCTCCCCAGCACGCCGCATTTCCGAATCGACTCAAATCATTTCAACATTTGATATTCGCGGCATTCTTACAGCACAAGGCTATCATCACGACGACGTTATGCTTCAGAGACTCGGTCTGCAGCAGTTTTGCAGGAGGGGGCGATGTTGCAGTATGTACGTACATGTATTTATTTTGCACAGTACATAGCCAACCGTGCTAATCGGAGGTGCGTGCGTGTGTGCAGTCCCATTTTACAATATGCGATGTAACTTTTGGCATTTGGCAAATTTGGACCGCGATACCGGCACGCAAAGTCCTGCTCGTTGCGAATGACCAGAGGGGATCCCTAACGGCCACATCGAAGCAGACCGCGCAATTCACGGTTAGCACATGCAGCGGTACAACCAGGAGCGGTCTACCAGATTCCAACCTGTGCAGCACGGGGTGGTGGGGGGGGGGCAAGCCAGTTTGCGCGTTTGGCAATCGAGTAGCCGGGTAAAACCCAGCGTTACCCCCGGGCACGGTACAGCTCACCGACCCGGCCGTGACACCACAGCTCGCCTGCTACTGTTGCTGCTGCTCCTCACCTGAGCGGCGACAGCAGGTAGATGAAGGAGTCGCTGCAGCGGTGGATGCACACGTGCGCGCCGGCCAGCCGTGGCGAGCTGCGCGCCAGTGTCTGCCGGCTCGCCTTCCTCAGCATCACCACGCGTGCGCCCGCCGGCGCCCCCTGCCCGCTGCGCAGCATGCACACGCGCTGCACGGTGCCCGCGCCTGGCGCAGACGGGGGGGGTGGTGGGGGGGGAGGGGGCACACACGCGCGTACGCAAGCTTATGTACGTGTGTGTGTGTGGGTTTAACTTCTTCCTACGTAGTGGACCTTGCCAACGTGTGCGCATGACCAAGCGTGCGTGTACGTGTCCAAACTTGCGTGCGAGGCGCGCACGCCTCGTGGAGACACGGTGCGCGTGGAGTATGGCGAGTGCGACTGGCGAATCGAGAGTGAGCGGCGAGTTGAATGTTAAGCTTCTTCAGCACTATACGTATCCAGCCATGTGCGGGGGAAGGCCAACCAACTAAAAGTGAGCGGCTCACAGCGAATTGTGAGCAAGTGGTTCACAATGGCATGGTGCGAGTGGCGAGCGAGTGGCGAGGGAGTGGCGAGCGAGTGGCGAGCGAGTGGCGAGCGAGTGGCGAGCGAGTGGCGAGCGAGTGGCGAGCGAGTGGCGAGGGAGTGGCGAGCGAGTGGCGAGCGAGTGGCGAGGGAGTGGCGAGGGAGTGGCGAGCGAGTGGCGAGGGAGTGGCGAGGGAGTGGCGAGGGAGTGGCGAGGGAGTGGCGAGGGAGTGGCGAGCGAGTGGCGAGGGAGTGTAGAGCGAGTGGCGAGGGAGTGGCGAGGGAGTGGCGAGGGAGTGGCGAGGGAGTGGCGAGCGAGTGGCGAGGGAGTGGCGAGGGAGTGGCGAGCGAGTGGCGAGCGAGTGGCGAGCGAGTGGCGAGCGAGTGGCGAGCGAGTGGCGAGGGAGTGGCGAGGGAGTGGCGAGGGAGTGGCGAGCGAGTGGCGAGCGAGTGGCGAGGGAGTGGCGAGGGCGTGGCGAGCGAGTGGCGAACGAGTGGCGAGAGAGTGGCGAGAGAGTGGCGAGAGAGTGGCGAGGGAGTGGCGAGCGAGTGGCGAGGGAGTGTAGAGCGAGTGGCGAGGGAGTGGCGAGGGAGTGGCGAGGGAGTGGCGAGGGAGTGGCGAGCGAGTGGCGAGCGAGTGGCGAGGGAGTGGCGAGCGAGTGGCGAGAGTGGCGAGGGAGTGGCGAGCGAGTGGCGAGGGAGTGGAGAGCGAGTAGCGAGGGAGTGTAGAGCGAGTGGCGAGGGAGTGGCGAGCGAGTGGCGAGGGAGTGGCGAGGGAGTGGCGAGGGAGTGGCGAGGGAGTGGCGAGGGAGTGGCGAGGGAGTGGCGAGGGAGTGGCGAGGGAGTGGCGAGGGAGTGGAGAGCGAGTGGCGAGGGAGTGTAGAGCGAGTAGCGAGGGAGTGTAGAGCGAGTGGCGAGGGAGTGGCGAGAGAGTGGCGAGAGAGTGGCGAGAGAGTGGCGAGAGAGTGGCGAGGGAGTGGCGAGCGAGTGGCGAGGGAGTGGAGAGCGAGTAGCGAGGGAGTGTAGAGCGAGTGGCGAGGGAGTGGCGAGGGAGTGGCGAGGGAGTGGCGAGGGAGTGGCGAGCGAGTGGCGAGGGAGTGTAGAGCGAGTGGCGAGCGAGTGGCGAGCGAGTGGCGAGGGAGTGGCGAGGGAGTGGCGAGGGAGTGGCGAGGGAGTGGCGAGGGAGTGGCGAGGGAGTGGCGAGGGAGTGGCGAGGGAGTGGCGAGAGAGTGGCGAGGGAGTGGCGAGGGAGTGGCGAGGGAGTGGCGAGAGAGTGGCGAGAGAGTGGCGAGGGAGTGGCGAGCGAGTGGCGAGGGAGTGGAGAGCGAGTGGCGAGGGAGTGGCGAGCGAGTGGCGAGGGAGTGGAGAGCGAGTGGCGAGGGAGTGGCGAGGGAGTGGCGAGGGAGTGGCGAGGGAGTGGCGAGGGAGTGGCGAGGGAGTGGCGAGGGAGTGGCGAGAGAGTGGCGAGAGAGTGGCGAGCGAGTGGCGAGCGAGTGGCGAGGGAGTGGCGAGGGAGTGGCGAGGGAGTGGCGAGGGAGTGCGAGGGAGTGGCGAGGGAGTGGCGAGAGAGTGGCGAGGGAGTGGCGAGGGAGTGGCGAGGGAGTGGCGAGGGAGTGGCGAGGGAGTGGCGAGGAAGTGGCGAGAGAGTGGCGAGAGAGTGGCGAGCGAGTGGCGAGCGAGTGGCGAGGGAGTGGCGAGGGAGTGGCGAGGGAGTGGCGAGGGAGTGGCGAGGGAGTGGCGAGAGAGTGGCGAGAGAGTGGCGAGGGAGTGGCGAGAGAGTGGCGAGCGAGTGGCGAGAGAGTGGCGAGAGAGTGGCGAGAGAGTGGCGAGAGAGTGGCGAGGGAGTGGCGAGGGAGTGGCGAGGGAGTGGCGAGGGAGTGGCGAGGGAGTGATGAGCGAGTGGCGAGGGAGTGGCGAGGGAGTGGCGAGGGAGTTCGAGGGAGTGACGAGGGAGTGGCGAGCGAGTGGCGAGGGAGTGGCGAGAGAGTGGCGAGAGAGTGGCGAGAGAGTGGCGAGGGAGTGGCGAGGGAGTGGCGAGCGAGTGCGAGTGGCGAGAGAGTGGCGAGAGAGTGGCGAGGGAGTGGCGAGGGAGTGGCGAGGGAGTGGCGAGGGAGTGGCGAGGGAGTGGCGAGCGAGTGGCGAGGGAGTGGCGAGGGAGTGGCGAGCGAGTGGCGAGAGAGTGGCGAGAGAGTGGCGAGAGAGTGGCGAGAGAGTGGCGAGGGAGTGGCGAGGGAGTGGCGAGGGAGTGATGAGCGAGTGGCGAGGGAGTGGCGAGCGAGTGGCGAGGGAGTTCGAGGGAGTGACGAGGGAGTGGCGAGCGAGTGGCGAGCGAGTGGCGAGCGAGTGGCGAGCGAGTGGCGAGCGAGTGGCGAGCGAGTGGCGAGCGAGTGGCGAGCGAGTGGCGAGCGAGTGGCGAGCGAGTGGCGAGCGAGTGGCGAGCGAGTGGCGAGCGAGTGGCGAGCGAGTGGCGAGCGAGTGGCGAGCGAGTGGCGAGGGAGTGGCGAGCGAGTGGCGAGCGAGTGGCGAGCGAGTGCGAGGGAGGGCGAGGGAGTGGCGAGCGCGTGGCGAGGGAGTGGCGAGCGAGTGGCGAGCGAGTGGCGAGCGAGTGGCGAGCGAGTGGCGAGGGAGGGCGAGCGAGTGGCGAGCGAGTGGCGACGCGTGAGTGCGAGGGAGCTGGCGAGCGAGTGGGAGGGAGTGGAGAGGGTAGGGCGAGGGAGTGGCGAGGGAGTGGCGAGGAGTGGCGAGCGAGTGGCGAGGGAGTGTAGAGCGAGTGGCGAGGGAGTGGCGAGGGAGTGGGAGGAGTGCGAGCGAGTGGGAGTGGCGAGCGAGTGGCGAGGGAGTGGCGAGCGAGTGGCGCGCGAGTGGCGAGGGAGTGGCGAGGGAGTGGCGAGCGAGTGGCGAGGGAGTGGCGAGGGAGTGGCGAGGGAGTGGCGAGCGAGGCGAGTGGGAGGAGTGTAGAGCGTCGTGGCGCAGGGAGGTGGAGAGGGGAGTGGCGAGGGAGTGGCGAGGGAGTGGCGAGGGAGTGGCGAGGGAGTGGCGAGGAGTGCGCGAGGGAGTGGCGAGGGAGTGGCGAGGGAGTGGCGAGGGAGTGGCGAGCGAGTGGCGAGCGAGTGGCGAGCGAGTGGCGAGCGAGTGGCGAGGGAGTGGCGAGGGAGTGGCGAGCGAGTGGCGAGCGAGTGGCGAGGGAGTGGCGAGGGCGTGGCGAGCGAGTGGCGAGCGAGTGGCGAGAGAGTGGCGAGAGAGTGGCGAGAGAGTGGCGAGGGAGTGGCGAGCGAGTGGCGAGGGAGTGTAGAGCGAGTGGCGAGGGAGTGGCGAGGGAGTGGCGAGGGAGTGGCGAGGGAGTGGCGAGCGAGTGGCGAGCGAGTGGCGAGCGAGTGGCGAGGGAGTGGCGAGCGAGTGGCGAGAGTGGCGAGGGAGTGGCGAGCGAGTGGCGAGGGAGTGGAGAGCGAGTAGCGAGGGAGTGTAGAGCGAGTGGCGAGGGAGTGGCGAGAGAGTGGCGAGAGAGTGGCGAGAGAGTGGCGAGAGAGTGGCGAGAGAGTGGCGAGGGAGTGGCGAGCGAGTGGCGAGGGAGTGGAGAGCGAGTAGCGAGGGAGTGTAGAGCGAGTGGCGAGGGAGTGGCGAGAGAGTGGCGAGAAAGTGGTGAGAGAGTGGCGAGCGAGTGGCGAGGGAGTGGCGAGCGAGTGGCGAGGGAGTGGCGAGGGAGTGGCGAGGGAGTGGCGAGGGAGTGGCGAGGGAGTGGCGAGGGAGTGGCGAGCGAGTGGCGAGGGAGTGTAGAGCGAGTAGCGAGGGAGTGTAGAGCGAGTGGCGAGGGAGTGGCGAGAGAGTGGCGAGAGAGTGGTGAGAGAGTGGCGAGAGAGTGGCGAGGGAGTGGCGAGCGAGTGGCGAGGGAGTGGAGAGCGAGTAGCGAGGGAGTGTAGAGCGAGTGGCGAGGGAGTGGCGAGCGAGTGGCGAGGGAGTGGCGAGGGAGTGGCGAGGGAGTGGCGAGGGAGTGGCGAGGGAGTGGCGAGCGAGTGGCGAGAGAGTGTAGAGCGAGTGGCGAGCGAGTGGCGAGCGAGTGGCGAGGGAGTGGCGAGGGAGTGGCGAGGGAGTGGCGAGGGAGTGGCGAGGGAGTGGCGAGGGAGTGGCGAGGGAGTGGCGAGAGAGTGGCGAGGGAGTGGCGAGGGAGTGGCGAGGGAGTGGCGAGAGAGTGGCGAGAGAGTGGCGAGGGAGTGGCGAGCGAGTGGCGAGGGAGTGGAGAGCGAGTGGCGAGGGAGTGGCGAGCGAGTGGCGAGAGAGTGGCGAGGGAGTGGCGAGGGAGTGGCGAGGGAGTGGCGAGGGAGTGGCGAGGGAGTGGCGAGGAAGTGGCGAGAGAGTGGCGAGGGAGTGGCGAGGGAGTGGCGAGCGAGTGGCGAGAGAGTGGCGAGCGAGTGGCGAGCGAGTGGCGAGGGAGTGGCGAGGGAGTGGCGAGGGAGTGGCGAGAGAGTGGCGAGGGAGTGGAGAGCGAGTGGCGAGAGAGTGCCGAGAGAGTGGCGAGCGAGTGGCGAGGGAGTGTAGAGCGAGTGGCGAGTGAGTGGCGAGGGAGTGGCGAGGGAGTGGCGAGGGAGTGGCGAGCGAGTGGAGAGCGAGTGGAGAGCGAGTGGCGAGAGAGTGGTGAGTGAGTGGCGAGGGAGTGGCGAGGGAGTGGCGAGGGAGTGGCGAGGGAGTGGAGAGCGAGTGGCGAGCGAGTGGCGAGGGAGTGGCGAGGGAGTGGCGAGGGAGTGGAGAGTGAGTGGCGAGAGAGTGGCGAGGGAGTGGAGAGCGAGTGGCGAGGGAGTGGCGAGGGAGTGGCGAGGGAGTGGCGAGGGAGTGGCGAGGGAGTGGAGAGCGAGTGGCGAGCGAGTGGCGAGGGAGTGGAGAGCGAGTGGATAGCGAGTGGCGAGCGAGTGGCGAGGGAGTGGCGAGGGAGTGGCGAGGGAGTGGCGAGGGAGTGGCGAGGGAGTGGAGAGCGAGTGGCAAGAGAGTGGCGAGAGAGTGGCGAGGGAGTGGCGAGAAAGTGGCGAGGGAGTGGCGAGAGAGTGGCGAGCGAGTGGCGAGCGAGTGGCGAGAGAGTGGCGAGAGAGTGGCGAGAGAGTGGCGAGAGAGTGGCGAGAGAGTGGCGAGGGAGTGGCGAGGGAGTGGCGAGGGAGTGGCGAGGGAGTGGCGAGGGAGTGGCGAGGGAGTGATGAGCGAGTGGCGAGGGAGTGGCGAGGGAGTGGCGAGGGAGTGGCGAGGGAGTGACGAGGGAGTGGCGAGCGAGTGGCGAGGGAGTGGCGAGAGAGTGGCGAGAGAGTGGCGAGAGAGTGGCGAGAGAGTGGCGAGGGAGTGGCGAGCGAGTGGCGAGCGAGTGGCGAGAGAGTGGCGAGAGAGTGGCGAGGGAGTGGCGAGAGAGTGGCGAGCGAGTGGCGAGCGAGTGGCGAGCGAGTGGCGAGAGAGTGGCAAGAGAGTGGCGAGGGAGTGGCGAGAGAGTGGCGAGAGAGTGGCGAGAGAGTGGCGAGAGAGTGGCGAGAGAGTGGCGAGGGAGTGGCGAGGGAGTGGCGAGCGAGTGGCGAGCGAGTGGCGAGAGAGTGGCGAGGGAGTGGCGAGGGAGTGGCGAGGGAGTGGCGAGGGAGTGATGAGCGAGTGGCGAGGGAGTGGCGAGGGAGTGGCGAGGGAGTGGCGAGGGAGTGGCGAGGGAGTGACGAGGGAGTGGCGAGCGAGTGGCGAGGGAGTGGCGAGAGAGTGGCGAGAGAGTGGCGAGAGAGTGGCGAGAGAGTGGCGAGGGAGTGGCGAGGGAGTGGCGAGCGAGTGGCGAGCGAGTGGCGAGAGAGTGGCGAGGGAGTGGCGAGGGAGTGGCGAGCGAGTGGCGAGAGAGTGGCGAGAGTGGCGAGAGAGTGGCGAGGGAGTGGCGAGGGAGTGGCGAGGGAGTGATGAGCGAGTGGCGAGGGAGTGGCGAGCGAGTGGCGAGGGAGTTCGAGGGAGTGACGAGCGAGTGGCGAGGGAGTGGCGAGCGAGTGGCGAGCGAGTGGCGAGGGAGTGGCGAGGGCGCCGGACTCGCCGGCTCACCATTCTGCTCCCAGGAGAGGTTACGGCCACGCTGCATACACGCCGACATGCCGTAGGGGCTGAGGTCCAGGTGGTCGCGCAGCCACAGCTGCAGTGGCCTCAGCGAGAAGGCCTTCAAGCCTGGTAGGAAGCCGCTGTCAGCCTGGGGGTGTGGGGGTGAACGCACCACCGTCACAGCCGTCGCCCCAGCACAGCGCAATGCACGCACGCAGTACAGCAGAACACATTCAACTCCAGCACCAGATAAGTACGGCCAAGACGCTTGTAGCGTCGGACTTACTCTAGCGTGCTTTCGGATTTTCGCGTCGTTTCAGGCGGGGATATCCCACCCAGACCACAATTGCGACCGACCCCAACAGACACGCCGCCCAGCCCACCTCCTACCCTCCCACCTCCCCCACCCCCCGTCGCCACGCGCGCCACGGGGCACCGGTGTGAGCACCTGCGCAGCGGTGGCCAGCTCGCTGAGCGGGCGGATGCGCTGGCCCCGATCGGCCGATCCCTCCATCAGCATGTCGAGGGTGCGCAGCGCCGACAACGGCAGCAGCGACTCGGACAGCGAGCTCCAGCGCATGGCGTGCATCCCCGCGGGCTCCAGCAGCAACTTGAGCAGGTCGGAGAGGCCACTCTTCACGAAGGACAGGTGCTGCTGGCCATCCAGATACTGGGACGATGCGGGGGGGGAGCAGGGAGGGAGGAGTGAAGAGTCAGCCAGATGTACGAGTGTGCGTGCGTGTGCATAGGTGCGTTCCTGTGTGCGCTACGAAACCCAGCAACCCTAGATCGATTCCTGCTCACAGCCAACACCAGTGACGTATATCAGAACCGGTCCTCGGTCTCCACCCGATCAACTCAGCCTTAAATAAGCACCTGGTGCGGTACGTAAAAACATCGCCACTTAGAGAGATGCTGGTCACACTAACCCCCTCATGTGCCGTGCCGGCCTTCATATGTGCTGCTACTCACTAACAGCACTTGCCCCAATCGTCTGCTAAGGCGACCTGGGAGACCTCTGTGCGTGTGTGTACGGGCGCTGCGCCGTGCCCCTCTGCACGAGGAGCCACACCTTGCCCTGGGTGAGAGAGCGTCGCTCCTGGTCTTCCGGCTGGCTCCGGGGACTCGGCCAGTCGTCCGCGACCAGCGAGTGGCGGCGCAGCGACGTGCGACTCAACTCCTGGATGTAGAGGAAGAGTAGGAACCACAGCGTGTCCACACTCAGCTGTACACGGGAACACACACACACACGCGGGCATCAGGGCACACGAATAGACAAATATACCCGTGTAGCATACACAGACTGACAGCATCTATGAAGGTCAACATGGCGCACGAGGGAGTGGTGTGTATAGCCCTACGCATAGCCACCTTTGTCTCCCCAGTAGTTGTGTGCGCACACTGCACCAAGTACTCATTTAACGCTGAGCCGACCTAGAGGATGATCAGGTTCGGTTCAGAAACTCGTCATCAATGTTTGCTGTGAGTTGGAATCAAACTAAGGTTTGCCAGGTTCATAGCGCAGAGTGCTTAGCACTACAATATCACTCCCCACACATACACAGACGCACACACACACACAGAAGTTATGGGCACACACACAGAAGTTATGGGGTCTATGATGGCATTGTTCGACCTGAGAAGGCATCAAATGCATGGATGACTACGTTTGGAGTAAACCGGTAGAGTCTGTTCAGCCTTCAAAGTTGAAAAAAAACGGTTGGCAAAAAATCTTCACGACAAAAGTGAGAACAAGAGGAATGCAACATCGGGCTGCACATGGCGAGAGTAAAGACGCGTTGCATTACACGTCACATTTTAAGTTACGTTTCTAACTTTGGTGACCGGACCAGAGACCGTGTCAACTCACTGCACTTGACAATGTGGTTTTAATCACGGGCAGCAGTTTAAACCTGGCTTGTAACCCAGGGTTTCAGAAGTGATGGCTCAGGTCTCTCACCTCTTAGCCACTCGCCCACTTCTACGTCCACGCTGTGTTAAGGAACTGTAGTGTTGTTGATTTCCGCGTCTTTGCTGTGCTACTGGGGGTTGGTGGCGGCGGTGTTGGCCGTGGTAGCTGTAGTGGTTGATATCGGTGGTTGCGGTGGTGGTGATGGTGGTGGTGGTGGCGGCAACAGTGCTGGTGGTGGTGGTGTCGGCGACGGTGGTGGTGGTCTCTGTGGCGGCAATGCTTTCACAGTGGTGGTGCCAGTGGCGGTGGAGGTAGTATCGGCGGTTTCAGTGGCTGTGTTGTCACCTGCGCGCGCAGCTGCTCGACGTCGGCACGCGAGCGGCACTCGGACGCCTCCTCGGCCCACTCGAGGCGCCGCTGTGCCGTCCACTCGGGCGCCAGCGTGTCGCAGCTCTCCATGTACAACCACGCCACCTCCTCGGGAAGTTGCAGCTTCCCGCACGCCACGTGCCGCCACATTGGCCACGTCAGCCTGCCACGCAAGCACACGCACGGCAACGCGTACATACGCGCTTTTGCACGAGTCCGTGCGTTCGTTTATTTAACGAAAAGTGGAAACCTGCTCCGTCGTCATCATAATCGGTCATGGTCAGTCCACTGCTTAAACAGTTAAATAGTGTTGAATCGAATTGTACTATAAATCAATGAATCAATTACTTATCCATCATTATTAATCGACAGGTGTAATCTATCAAGTAGTGTATGTACACAGACTGAGACATTTACGTGGGTTTCTAGGCAACCATAGAAGAGTAAATTTCCACAACTTGTTGACGAGGATGACTAAGAAAATCCAGTTACCACAATTCTGACGACTGCCTGATGATGCTGGCTGTAACTATGGGCGAAGCGTGCGCACCCCAATTGTTAAACGTGCGCACCCCAATTGCTAAACGTGCGCACCCCAATTGTTAAATGCTATGAGATTACTCACGAATGGCATAACAGTTGCGCTGCTGAACAGTTGTGACATTGGCCACGTTTGTTCGTCACGTGACAACTTCATTAACTGGTTGCGTCGGGTGAAGGAGGGTGTATGGCACACATTTAAATCATCCGATCAAAAAAATGTTAAATATGAATCGCAACATTGGTCGCGAAAGCCAACTTATTAGTTCAGTGCTCTTAATAAGCAAGGCCCTCAGGCCATTGGTGGCCCCAGGTGGCCTTTAGTGCGGCCCCCCGACAATACACATACGTGAAAACAACCCTCGCAAGGCGGTGTGGCGGTCCTCACACTGATGATGCCTTATCGGCGAAAGTGGGCCACCCTCTGAAAATTTGTGACGAACACTGCGTTAGTTGGACTTAAGTCTTCACACACACACAAATTCTGCATGTCGACAACCTTGATTAAGATCACAAGCTGATATCGGTGCCTCTTAACACCCACCCCCCCCCCCCAACTCCTCATCCTCCTCCTCCTCACCTGGGGAATCCGAGCGGGCGAATTCTCACGTACGCCGCCACCTTGTGCAGGTAGTAGATGCCCAGCTTGGCGGGAGGCACCATGGGGAGCACGCCAACGCGAAACGGTTCGTCTCGGAGCCACAGCCGCACGCGCGGCGCTTGCGGCCGTGGCTCCGTCACCGCCCTGGAAGGGTCCCCAGACCCTCCCACGGCTTTCGCCGATGGCTGCATGGCGCAGACGGGAGGCGGCGGCAGTGGTGGCGGTCGCAAGTTGTGGCCTCCGCCGGTGTCTGGGGCTGAGAATTAGTTTTCTTATTAATGAACGTTTTTGTAATGCGCAGTAAGGAGTGCCATACAGAAGAATGAGAAGAAAAAACATCTTTAATCTAACCTATTGTCGAAAATAAGTTGGTGTTTAGTTTATTTCGAAATGGGAGAATATCAGCGGTCAAGCGCAGCTCGGTAGGCAGAACGTTCCACATCGGAGGCCCAAGGACCGAAAACTTCCTAGCGAGAAGTTTGTGCCGAGGTGTTCGACAAAGCACGACAAAGATCAGTCTTGATTGTCTACACTGCATCCTAAGCATCCCGAGTTTGCCCCAGTCTGACTTTTGACAGTCTTGCCCGAGCTATTACTGACAGGTAGTGCCTCATCGTTGCAGCAATCATGACGACTGCTTACTTAAATTAACATGCGTCGAGATAATTTGCTGTTATAAATGTCCACGCGATAAGCCACTTCGTTGAGCTATCATTTGTAGCCAGGTCGCTTCTGAAAAATAAGCTAATTGCTCAGCGGGGTTTACCTGGTAAGATAAAACAATACTTTAGTTTAGGGAATCTGGATGGAGACAGGGAGGGGTGGAGACAATGGAGGAGAGATTAAAGCGAGAGATAAGGAGGGCGTGGTGCAGACGGAGAGGGGACAGGGAAAGAGGGGATAATACAGGGTGCTTCAAATAAATGTTAACACTTGCAACAATACCTTAAGAAACGTGCCTTCAGGCCCTGGAGAGCACCTGTATTGCGAGAGAGGGGCAGGGAGACGGGGGGAGACGGCGTGAGGGGGGCAGACAGAGAGGAAGGGAGACAAAGATGGGACACTGACAGGACACGGGGGATGCAGGGGAGACAGGATGTCCTCTCTGCCGTGAGAAAACACGGGGAGGAGGGTTCCATTTGCCACGTGCGTCTGTCTGAGCAATACTTTGAGCTCAACACGTGGCAGGCTTTCGCAACCACTATTATTCATAATCAACGTTTTTGGGTTTAGATCGCGTTATTTGTGCCGTAACCCTCCACCACCCGACACGGCCAATCAGTAAAAAGGTGTCACGTTGACAAAAGACAAATAGTTCACTGCTTTAGCCCACTGGTGTGTTGAAGCGTGAAACCACAACATTTACACATTTACAATGTTTTGTTGTTGTTGTGGTTTCACGCTTCAACACACCGGTGGGCTAAAGCAGTGAACTATTTGCCTTTTGTCAACGTGACACTTTTGTACTGATTGGCCGTGTCGGGTGGTGGAGGGTTACGACACATTTATAAATAACGCGATCTAAACCCAAAAACGTTATAATACTTTGAGCTATATCGTGTTCTTCTGTTTGTTGATATAACGCTCTGACCCCGTGTCCCTACTGGGCGTCTGTGACAAAGAGCTTAGTAGCTCATCGGATTCCTCCTGCAGTATAAATTAATGTATTCGGATTCTGACGTATAATGACTGTGCCGTCGTTCCCGGCACGTGGAGCGGTGGCGTCGTAAGTTGCGCTACCAACTCAGTTGGCCCGCGGGCTACTGGAGGCCCCTGGTGGCCTTTAGCGCGGGCCCCGACAAGACACAAAGAGGCACCATCCCCCACCACCATCATCATCGTCGTCGTGCTGCTGTTCAAACTCCCCAAGGTTCCACACGGTGTGTGTGGCGGCCCTCACAGCGGGGACGTCTCATCGGCGACAGTGCCCCCCCCCACCCGCACCGAAACTGAGCGAAGAGCAGCGCACTACGGAGTTTAATGTCCACGTCCACTGCGGCCTGTGTGTGCCACCCAAACCACCTCCACCCCAGTCCTCGAAAACCAAAACCTCGTCACCACCACCAAAACCTCATCGTCACCACCAAAACCTGTCACCACCACCAAAACCTCTGTCACCACCAAAACCTCTGTCACCACCACCACCTCATCGTCACCACCACCAAAACCTCATCGTCATCACCACCAAAACCTCATCGTCACCACCAAAACCTCATCGTCATCACCACCAAAACCTCATCGTCACCACCAACAAAACCTCACCGTCATCACCACCAAAACCTCATCGTCACCACCAAAACCTCATCGTCACCACCAAAACCTCATCGTCACCACCACCAACAAAACCTCATCGTCACCACCACCAAAACCTCACCGTCACCACCACCAAAACCTCATCGTCACCACCAACAAAACCTCATCGTCACCACCAACAAAACCTCACCGTCATCACCACCAAAACCTCATCGTCACCACCAAAACCTCATCGTCATCACCACCAAAACCTCATCGTCACCACCAACAAAACCTCACCGTCATCACCACCAAAACCTCATCGTCACCACCAAAACCTCATCGTCACCACCACCACCAAAACCTCATCGTCACCACCAAAACCTCATCGTCACCACCACCAACAAAACCTCATCGTCACCACCACCAAAACCTCACCGTCACCACCAAAACCTCGTCACCGTCACCACCACCAACCCCGGCTCACTCTCTCGCGATCCTGCGACATTATAACTTTACTTTGTCGTCGCAGCGCCCACTGCAAACGCAACGCGAACGTGTTTGACGCGACGTCTACCGCTCGTCGTCGCCAGCCGTGGTCGATCCACTGCTGGAGGATGATGATGATGAGGATGAGGAGGACGATGATGATGAGGATGAGACGCCGACGCGATATTGACAAAGCGCCTCGCCTCTGTAAACACGCGCCGTCCCTTGACAACGCGTAACAACAACAACAACAACCAGCCGCAACTGTTAGCGCAGCCTACGGCACTAAGTTGTTGTTGTAATTGTTGTTGTTGTTGTTATTGTTGTAAATGAAAGAGAACCACCTCCTCACCACCCCCCGCTGGGCGCCCACAGCGACGGCCGCAAGTCACCTGCGCAGACGCCAAGGGACGCGCCGCCGCCAGTTTGGATTTTCCAGCGCACACGCGCGGGCGTCCCGCGGGTCACGTGACGGCTCCTTCGAACGGGCCAATGAGGAGGGCGAGGGGGGAGTCGCACCGACGCCTATCCGCTGTGCGGAATTCAAACAGGAGTTCCCGCCAACTTGGGGGGGGGGGTGGCTCCGGGTGGAAACAAACGAGCAGCTCGGCCCCACCCCCCGCGTGGGTAGAAAGGTTCCGCTTCAGACAACTCTGTTCCGCCTGGGCGTCACCACGTGGTGGTGGTGATGATGAACAGGGATTAGATCATAGTCACGTTAGAGATGACGATGATGCTGATGATGAGCACCCTGTCACCCTGTCATTCTCTCACTCTCTCACCCTGTCACCTTGTCACCCTGTCACCCTGTCACTCTGCCACTCTGTCACCCTGTCACTCTGTCTCTCTGTCTCCCTGTCACTCTGCCACTCTGTCACCCTGTCACTCTGTCTCTCTGTCTCCCTGTCACTCTGTCACCCTGTCACTCTGTCACCCTGTCACCCTGTCAATCTGTCACCCTGTCACCCTGTCACCCTGTCACTCTGTCACTCTGCCACCCTGTCACCTGTCACCCTGTCACCCTGTCACTCTGTCACTCTGCCACTCTGTCACCCTGTCACCCTGTCACTCTGTCAACCTGCCACTCTGTCACTCTGTCACCCTGTCACTCTGTCACCCTGTCACCCTGTCACCCTGCCATTCTGTCACCCTGTCACTCTGTCACCCTGTCACTCTGTCACCCTGTCTCTCTGTCACCCTGTCACCCTGTTACCCTGCTATTCTGTCACCTGTCTCTCTGTTACTCTGTCACCCTGTCACCCTGTCACTCTGTCACCCTGTCACCCTGTCACTCTCTCACCCTGTCACCCTGTCACCCTGTCTCTCTGTCACCCTGTCACTCTGTCACCCTGTCTCTCTGTCTCCCTGTCACTCTGTCACACTGTCACTCTTTCACCCTGTCACTCTGTAACCCTGTCACCCTGTCACTCTGTCACCCTGTCACTCTGTCACCCTGTGACGCTGTCACTCTGTCACCCTGTCACTCTGTCACCCTGTCACTCTGTCACTCTGTCACCCTGTCACTCTGTCACCCTGTCACTTTGTCACCCTGTCACCCTGTCTCTCTGTCACTCTGTCACTCTGTCACCCTGTCTCTCTGTCACCCTGTCACTCTGTCACCCTGTCACCATGTCTCTCTGTCACCCTGTTACCCTGTCATTCTGTCACTCTGTCACCCTGTCACTCTGTCACTCTGTCACCCTGTCACTGTGTCACTCTGTCACCATGTCTCTCTGTCACTCTGTCACCCTGTCACTTTGTCACCCTGTCATCCTGTCACCCTGTCTCTCTGTCACCCTGTCACCCTGTCACTCTGTCACTCTGTCATCCTGTCTCTCTGTCACCCTGTCACTCTGTCACCCTGTCACCATGTCTCTCTGTCACCATGTCACCCTGTCACTCTGTCACCCTGTCACCCTGTCACTCTGTCACCCTGTCTCTCTGTCACCCTGTCACCCTGTCACTCTGTCACCTTGTTACTCTGTCACCTTGTCACCCTGTCACCCTGTCACCTGTCACCCTGTCACCCTGTCACTCTGTCACCTTGTCACCCTGTCACCCTGTCACCCTCTCACCCTCTCACTCTGTTACTCTGGTCAGCCTGTCACCCTGTCACCCTGTCACCTTGTCACTCTGTCACCCTGTCACCCTGTCACCCTCTCACTGTCACTCTGTCACCCTGTCACCCTGTCACCTTGTCACTCTGTCACCCTGTCACCCTGTCACCTTGTCACCCTCTCACTCTGTCACTCTGGTCACCCTGTCACCCTGTCACCCTGTCACCATGTCACCTTGTCACTCTGTCACCCTGTCACCCTGTCACCCTCTCACTCTGTCACTCTGGTCACCCTGTCACCCTGTCACCCTGTCACCTGTCACCCTGTCACCCTGTCACTCTGTCACCCTGTCACCCTGTCACTCTGTCACCCTGTCACTCTGTCACTCTGTCACCCTGTCACTCTGTCACTCTGTCACCCTGTCTCTCTGTCACTCTGTCACCCTGTCACCCTGTCACTCTGTCACCCTGTCACTCTGTCACTCTGTCACCCTGTCACTCTGTCACCCTGTCACTTTGTCACCCTGTCACCCTGTCACCCTGTCTCTCTGTCACCCTGTCACCCTGTCACTCTGTCACTCTGTCACCCTGTCTCTCTGTCACCCTGTCACTCTGTCACCCTGTCACCATGTCTCTCTGTCACCCTGTCACCCTGTCATTCTGTCACTCTGTCACCCTGTCACCCTGTCACTCTGTCACTCTGTCACCCTGTCACTCTGTCACTCTGTCACCATGTCTCTCTGTCACTCTGTCACCCTGTCACTTTGTCACCCTGTCATCCTGTCACCCTGTCTCTCTGTCACCCTGTCAACCTGTCACTCTGTCACTCTGTCACCCTGTCTCTCTGTCACCCTGTCACCATGTCTCTCTGTCACCCTGTCACCCTGTCACTCTGTCACCCTGTCACCCTGTCACTCTGTCACCCTGTCTCTCTGTCACCCTGTCACCCTGTCACTCTGTCACCTTGTTACTCTGTCACCTTGTCACCCTGTCACCCTGTCACCCTATCACCTGTCACCCTGTCACCCTGTCACTCTGTCACCTTGTCACCCTGTCACCCTGTCACCCTGTCACCCTCTCACTCTGTCACTCTGGTCACCATGTCACCCTGTCACCCTGTCACCCTCTCACTCTGTCACTCTGGTCACCCTGTCACCCTGTCACCCTGTCACCCTCTCACTCTGTCACTCTGGTCACCCTGTCACCCTGTCACTCTGTCACCCTGTCACCCTGTCTCTCTGTCACCCTGTCACTCTTTCACCCTGTCACCCTGTCACCCTGTCACCCTCTCACTCTGTCACTCTGGTCACCCTGTCACCCTGTCACCCTCTCACTCTGTCACTCTGGTCACCCTGTCACCCTGTCACTCTGTCACCCTGTCACCCTGTCTCTCTGTCACCCTGTCACTCTTTCACCCTGTCACACTGTCACCCTGTCACTCTGTCACCCTGTCTCTCTGTCACCATGTCACCCTGTCACCCTGTCACTCTGTCACCCTGTCACTCTGTCATCCTGTCACTCTGTCACCTTGTCACTCTGTCGCCCTGTCACCCTGTCACTCTGTCACCCTGTCACCCTGTCTCTCTGTCACCCTGTCATCCTGTCACTCTGTCACCCTGTCACCCTGTCACTCTGTCACCCTGTTACCCTGTCACTCTGTCACCCTGTCACTCTGTCACTTTGCCACTCTGTCACCCTGTCACCCTGTCACTCTGTCACCCTGTCACCTTGTCACTCTGTCACCCTGTCACCCTGTCACCCTGTCACTCTGTCACCCTGTCACTCTGCCACTCTGTCACCCTGTCACTCTGTCACCCTGTCACTCTGTCACCCTGTCACCCTGTCACTGTCACCCTGTCACCCTGTCACTCTGTCACCCTGTCACTGTCACCCTGTCATCCTGTCACTCTGTCACCCTGTCACTCTGTTACCCTGTCATCCTGTCACTCTGTCACCCTGTCACCCTGTCTCTGTGTCACCCTGTCATCCTGTCACTCTGTCACCCTGTCACCCTGTCACTCTGTCACCCTGTTACCCTGTCACTCTGTCACCCTGTCACTCTGTCACTTTGCCACTCTGTCACCCTGTCACCCTGTCACTCTGTCACCCTGTCACCTTGTCACTCTGTCACCCTGTCACTCTGCCACTCTGTCACCCTGTCACTCTGTCACCCTGTCACTCTGTCACCCTGTCACCCTGTCACTGTCACCCTGTCACCCTGTCACTCTGTCACCCTGTCACTGTCACCCTGTCATCCTGTCACTCTGTCACCCTGTCACTCTGTTACCCTGTCATCCTGTCACTCTGTCACTCTGTCACCCTGTCACCCTGTCACTCTGTCACCCTGTCACCCTGTCACTCTGTCACCCTGTCACTCTGTCACCCTGTCACTCTGTCACTCTGCCACTCTTCACCCTGTCACCCTGTCACTCGGTCACTCTGTCACCCTGTCTCTCTGTCACCCTGTCACTCTGTCACCCTGTCACCATGTCTCTCTGTCACCCTGTCACCCTGTCATTCTGTCACTCTGTCACCCTGTCACCCTGTCACTCTGTCACTCTGTCACCCTGTCACTCTGTCACTCTGTCACCCTGTCACTCTGTCACTCTGTCACCCTGTCACTTTGTCACCCTGTCATCCTGTCACCCTGTCTCTCTGTCACCGTGTCACCCTGTCACTCTGTCACTCTGTCACCCTGTCTCTCTGTCACCCTGTCACTCTGTCACCCTGTCACCATGTCTCTCTGTCACCCTGTCACCCTGTCACTCTGTCACCCTGTCACCCTGTCACTCTGTCACCCTGTCTCTCTGTCACCCTGTCACCCTGTCACTCTGTCACCTTGTTACTCTGTCACCTTGTCACCCTGTCACCCTGTCACCTGTCACCCTGTCACCCTGTCACCCTGTCACTCTGTCACCTTGTCACCCTGTCACCCTGTCACCCTGTCACCCTCTCACTCTGTCACTCTGGTCACCCTGTCACCCTGTCATCCTGTCACCCTCTCACTCTGTCACTCTGGTCACCCTGTCACCCTGTCACTCTG